TTTCTAGGGTGATGCTTAGAATAATAATGGCCTCCTTATTCTGTTCTTACCCACAGCAGGCCAGGACAATTACGCATAAATGAAGAAATAGATGGTGCGATTTCAATACGCTGCTTGGTCACTGCATGGCTCTTTAGGAGGACTTGAGTGATAGCGGATTGGAAAGTCAGCAGATGACCTGAAATAGAGCAAGGTATGTCAAACGTAATAGCTCCGTGTCCTTGACTAACAACTTTGACAATGTAAGGAAGTGACCGCAAGTGAATTTGAATCAAATCTCAGCTTTTTCTTTTCTCTAATCCCCCGTGGAACAGAGCCGCCGTGTAACATGATGAAGCAATAACCTTTACAGTTTAGGTCAGAGAGTATGATAATACCAGTCTGATCGCAATGATCCTCTTCCCCTATTTGAAATAAATATTCATCTCATCTCTGTCTTTCTTCACACAGCTCCCCCCATGGTTCAGTGGTGTGTAAACAACTCCTACATGTGGTGATATCGGAGGAGGTCTCTCTGGGTTATGGTGCGTAACTGAGATAGAAATATATCATTACTGGGTGGGGAACTGAGGGGGATCTGAGGGACAAAGAGACTGAGAAATAGGAATATTGGATTCCGTTTCACACACACACAAGCTTATGTCCTTACAATGCAGGCTGTCTCCTCCATCTGTCACAAACACACACACACACACACACACACACCCAAACTTAGCATAGGATGTCTAGTAACTGCATGCGAATGGGTGATGGACTGCTCCAGTGGCTCTGCCGGTAATATAATCTTCTCTATTCCCCCAGATCCCACACCAATATGTCACAATTGTCATTTATTCCCGGCATGGTTGCCCTCACAATCAGATGCCTTCTCACATTGTACACACACACTGATCCTGTCAGGTTGATGAACACTTCAAGTGCATTTCACCTACATGTGCTTACATAGATCCTATATTAACATGTGTTGCCCTTTGTGTTGACTTGCCTTTTCCCCCTCAGTTTAGACAAAGAAGGTGGKTTTAGGTCCAGTGCATTACACATGCAATTACAAACAGATAAACTGTTGGTGCCACAACATCCAGAAAGTCACACTGATTAGCCAGACAACAATTCATACTTTTCTGTTGAAAAAATAAAATAGTTAGCAGCAAAAATGCAACTGTAGTTTGACAAAAAAATGTTCATGATGTGCACATTTGTGTGTGTGTAAATCCCAGTTCTGACAACAGGCTATTTTCCTATCCTGAATATGCGTGATGATCACACAAAGCATCAAACTGCTCATTTTAAAACTTTTCAGGAAAAAAACATGTTTTTATTCAAGAAATCAGTGTTTCATTCACCAAAATCCCCCTTTTTTCTTTGCTCTTATAGCTAAAGTAGGACAAATAAGCGACATAAATGCATGACTAAAAATGCTCATGTGTTTGGGTTGATTAGAGGTGACAGCTGTGTTGTTAAAAATCAGAATCCCTAACTCTGCCCAGATCCAGTGAGTGAGATTACCAAATCTCTTTTTTTTCAGCAAAGGGGATATCATGCTCAGCTCTGAATAAGTCTGATGACATAGATTCAATATAATCTGCCAAGTAATTAAAATGAAAGATAACACTGATATCTGCTCAGAACTGTGTGGAAGAAGAGTATTGATTTAGCCATATCTCCTTGCTCATCTGGAACCTGGGAAACCTTAATGCCAGATAGCAAACTGAGCAGCCTGGACTTAAGCTGGGGGTATAAAAGGTGTAATGGCAGATCCCGAGAGGGAAAGCTGTTCAATGAATTCAGCCAAACACCACCTCCTCAGACAAGACCGAGTAAAACAACTATCTCAAATCTGACATTTGTTTTAGGCAGCAGGAGGACTTTTCTGTTTTGGGGCACTGAATTCAAGATTTCCTATGAAAATAATAATAAAAAAATCAGCTACAGTCTCAATTATATATATATATATCTATATATATATCTATATCTATATCTATAAAATA